CACGACTCAGAAACCAAGCCCATTCTTCTGTCTACTGCTGACGCATTTTCAGTCCCGCGCGGCCAAAGTAGTCTTTCAGTTTTGTCCAATGTAGTTGCTGTGCCAAAAATTGCATTTAATATGGTAAAAGACTCTAAGAGGTTTTCTTTCCATGGCAGGGGTCTCTGGAACTCATTATCTGTCGCCGAATGGTTGCTTCCGGTCTGTGGGCAACCCCAACTCCAAGGTGGCTGGGGGCGGTCTCGAAGACCCTTGGCGCTACCCCGAAATTCGGAGACGGTGCGAATCGCTCATTTCTGCCGGTTTTATATGCACCTGATGACGAATTTTCGCTAGCAGCCATTCACTCTGATTACTCGTTAAAGGTAACGTAATTCGCTACGCTTTTATCCCCAGTTCACTACAGTACAACTCAGCACACCGATATAGCATCATCACGCCCATTTTGTGAAGTATGTGAAGCTAAGTTAGTCGGTCAATAAGCTCTGAATTAATTACGAGTGGGGATGGACCATAAAGACCAAGAGTGCGCCCTAAACGCTAGAGTGTGCAGTCAGCTTTCACGAATGTAAGGCAGCAGGGTCATTCAGACAGTTGACCTCAGGTAGACTGTAATGACTACTGCTGACTCACTCGCCAATCAAGGCTTAAGGGAATCTGAGATTTTAGCTGGAGTCTGTATGTCATTGTACATTTAGAGCAAACAATACTTGACACCCAATCATACAAAATGGTCTAAAAACGAGTAGAGGCCTCTCGGAGGACAAACCCGTGTTCCCGGAAGTCGGCTCTATCAGCGTGTCACCGGGTTTGAAGATGCCCGCTCTCTCTCCTTCCTCGATCATTCTGACGGCAATTCGGTCCTTCACGCTGCCACCAGGATTCATGAATTCACACTTGGCCACTGAGGAGAGAAGAAAGGGAAAAGGTTATCAAAATAAGTATCCCAGAAAGTTACAGGACGATGTCATAACGGACCTCTGGATTTAACCTGATTGAGTCTCAGTGTTATAAAAAATTTAACGAAACAACAACAGAAATGAACCACGTAAAAACTCTTACTAAACTCAAGCTGTCAAAGGATATTACAAACGCTTTGCCCTCGGGATGCCCAAGTACGATTATGGAGTTTTTTATGTTTTGACAGCAGTTAAGGTAATAGGCACTTGGGAATGGGATTGGCCGATATATTTCTATTGCGGAAGAGCATAGGCGGATGTTGATAGTTGGAGTAACACCCGAAACCTCAACGTTTTTTAAGACGATTTACCGTATTTTCCGGACAATAGGGCTCACTTAAAAGCCGTTTAATTTTATCGAAAAACGACAGTACGCCTTATAACTTGGAGCGCTTTCTATAGCGATTACTTCTGGTTACTTAACTCGAAGTGGTGTGCTTGTGTGGCCCCAAGTGAGTGTATTGTGTTGTATTTTAGGTGCTACAACTGAACAAGGCTGGAGTTACTTTGGCTATGCTCATTAACATTTGAACAATTTTGAGATTTATCGTGAATTTGTTCAGTAAACTTTATCCAACTGACTTATCCGACGGTTTTGTTAATCCCCATGCTGTGTCTCCCATAGCTCACAAGTTAATCCTCCAGGCAATTGTAGTGGCCGGATAATGACAACTGACTTTGCAATTTGGGAAATATCGATAACCGTATTTTCCGAACTACAATGCGCACTTAAGGGCTTTTAATCTTCTCAAAAATCGACAGTGCGCATTATTGATTAATTCCGGTTACTGACCGCGAAGCAATGTTGTGGGGAACGCGGCACTGCGTTAATCTGTAGTTAGGACCGACGCGGAGTAATATGTATACTATGCTTCACCATAATATTACAGCGTATGTGTGTATGGACCCCAATGTGGCACCTGTAAAGAGATACGCTTACGACGTGGACTTCAAATTCAAGGCTATCAGTTACGCAGTAGAACATGGAAATAGAGAAAAATCAACACTAATGAATCAATGGTACGGAAGTGGAGGAACCAAGAAGATGACCTGTACCAAGTAAAAAAGACCAGACAGCGTTTCCGAGGGAGCAAAGGGAAACTTCCACAATTAGAGGACAAAAGAGAACAGTGGGTTAATAGTAAACAGAGAGCAGCAGGTAGAATCGTCTCTACCGTCTCTATTTGAATGAAGGCAACAAAATTAGCACGGGACGTGAATATTAATGACTTTCAAGGCGGGTTTCTTCTCGGTGCTTTCGTTTTATGAAAAGGCGTACTCTCCATCCGTCTGAACAATGTTGAAATTTATTGTGAATGCGTTCAATAAAGTTTGACTGACTGAATTAGCTAACGGTCTTGTTTCCGAGAAGAAGGAGACTCGATCGCTGGGACATATTAGCGCCGGCTTGTATCTCACACTCTTCGGCAACACGTTATTGTCAAGACA